CATGAGTTTGGGATTGTCATAGTCAAACTCCACCTCACTACCCCTGTACATTGCACTACTTAGTAGCTGCCTAGCTGAGCACAGCAAATGTGTGGACCATGGATTTGAATGATCGTCTGTTCCACGCACGCCTTTGCTTGCCAAGGGCACAGATCCTGAGGAAAGCCCAGGAACAGCCAAAGATATTGTTCAGTGGGCCAGTGGGGGACTATGGCTTGAGCATAGCAAGGGGAGGTCCTACTTGATGGTGGAGATGCACCTGAAGAGATCCTGATGCAGAGCAGAAAATGCTATATGTGTTTAATATATGGGGTTTAATGTTTACGCTCAAGTCGAAGGGTGTTTTTTGTTTGTTTGTTTTTTTTTTTAAATCTCCTGTTTAACAAAAAGATCTCAGCAAGGTTGGATAGGGATACTTTTTGATAGGGATGCTTTCCTTTTGTGCATAGACACCCAATTTCAAAGTTGTTTTCCATTGCAAAGGACAATGAAAATAAAATATTTTGAAAAGTTCAGATGAAATAGAATGAAATAAATCCATTTTCTGGGATTTATATTCTGTGACAAAAACATAAAAATATTAAAATATTATAAAACAAATACTGCAACATAGCATGACTTTTAATTTGGTTTATGCTTAATTCTTGTGAAATATTACTGCCTTCAATTTGGTAATTTGGCATTGAAAAAAAAATGTTCTGTTGGATAATTGCCCATAAGATGTGTTCTTAGCCCTGCTTCAGATCTTCAGTTAAGTCCAAAACTGTGAACTATCAGGCCTCACCATCTGCTCCATCGAGTTCTGTTTGTTCTGTGTAGCTGCCATTTTGGGTGGATGTTCATCTTTACCGTGTTCTCACAATCCTGTGACTTAAATGTTCTGGAAGACCTGAATTTAGCTTCCAATGTTTTATGAAATTAATGTAATTTTTTGAAAGATTAATGGGATCAGGTTTTGAACCTTTATTTGTGTGGTTTTTTAATTGTGTCTTATTTAAAAACAGGAATTTGTCTTGCAGGAACAGTTTTGCAATTGCTTGTGTGATTCAGACTTCTCTTTCTGTTCATTTGGTATCACATTCCAGTGCCATCATTCCCTCTTTGATAAGTCGTGCAGATAATTTTTTTTTTAATCAACAGATACATAAAGATGACTTGTGTACATGTATTCTGCTATCAGTTGTAGAGAACTTACTATACAAAATCAGAGAGGTCAAAGCTTTAACAACTGAACAACCTATGGGAGATTTTATATAAGAGAGTATTTACCTATTCTAATATTTTTCTTCTCCTGGGGAGGTAAAAGTTCACTTTTACTAAGTCTGACATGCTAGCTTTACCACTGTCAGAATAATCTCAATTAATTTCTTCATTTGTAAATCAGCCTTTGAATCTGGAAGACAATACAGCTTTTAAAAGTCTGTCTTTTGGGGTTTATTTTACGACCGCATATCTGGTCAGCCACTGTCCAAGACAATTACAGAGAAATGGTTGTCTTTGTGCACTTCTCATTGTTATTCACCGGCAGGGTTGTCATCAGAGGGTCACATTAAAGTTCATTCAATCAAAGCTGTGGCAGTAGCAATAGTCCGCCTCAGGTCAGTTCCATCTCTTGAGATTTGCAGGGCAGTACCTGAAGTTATTTGCGTAATTTTATGTAGCGTTAGTGCCTTGATACTTTGTAGCAAAGATTTCAAAGGCAACAAATCTGTACCTAGTGTTCTACCCCAATGACAATCCAATTATCTTTCCCCTTACTGTGTTATTGTAACCATTTGTATGTATCTTCTGGTATCTTTAAGTTCATTTTCACTTAGCTGTAATCTATATGTAATGTGTATTGTTATCTTAGTGGTTATAATTAGGTTTTGTATTTCTCTGTTCATGTGGTTATTAGTTTATGTACTTGTAATCATCCTGGGAACCTCTGCCTTTTACTTTGGAGAAAATTTTTAAAAGTGCTCCCTTGTGCTGCAATAGAAGTTTAAGTTGGGATGAGATAAATCACAGCCAAGAAGTATCTGCTTTTCTTCATTGAGAGTAAAGGGATCCTAAGTAACCCACATCTCTAGCTAAATTGGTCGGTTTGGATGAATCCAACTTTTTTTATCTATACATGTGCTTACATATATATATGTGTGTGTGTGTGTGCACACACACACAGATGGATAATATATGTATACTGAGCCCAAACCAGTTTTGTTACTTCCATTCCAGTATCACTTGCAGAGATTTTTATGTGGCTATTGTACCAAAATAGTCTTAATTTCTAATGTATGAATAAGTTTTATATGATGTACGCTCCTGGATATTCTGAAGAAGAGGTACCTAAGGGGTACTTTTTCAGCCTTGAGGGGGAACAAAAGGCATGAAAACTCACAGCCATGAAGAATGTTCTGATTGGGAATACATGAAGTCTATATATTGATAATTGTTCCTCTCAAAGCCAAATTTCTAAACTTAAGCTGATGTTTTGGTGTCGAACCTTAGGTACAAATCATAAGAAGATAATCTAGATGTAATTTCTGGGGTATTTCTATTTTGGTGATTCTAAAGACATTGTGAAATATTCTCATTTCTTGGAAGGGGTGTTATCTTATTTAAAATACTAGAAATGGAAATGTGTAGCACAAACTTGTTCAAAAATCATAATTTATATATTTTAATGGGTATTATTAAAAAGGTAGAAATATGAGGTATCACTTCATGGAGGAATAACTCTGAGGAAAATAAATAGGAAAGCAAAATAATAAATAAAAAAGCAAAAGCAACAAAAAGGTATTGCTTACCATTAAAGAGCAGGGATGAATTTGTAAATCAAAAGACAAAACCAGAGTGTGTTCAAGAATGGGCAAAAGACATTTCAGCTTGATTTCAGAAAATTTTAAGCAGGGAAAATTCAGCCAGCGTTCTCCAAAATGGCCAAGATGAATAAAGATAGAGGTGAAACAAATACTAGATAAACCTCTTGGAGACTGCAGACATGATTAGGTGGCAACAAGATCCTTTCAGGAGACAGAATGAAGTTCTTACTGTGTTGTGCAACACACTGAAGAGCCTTATCAAGATGTTGTGAAGTCAAAGAACTTAGTCATGACAACAGACAGAATGAGAGATTTAGATCACTTCCTATTAGACCATATGTAATTTGTCATTTTTAGTTTTGAGACAGAACATACTAGAGAGGAGGCTGAGGAAACACTCTGTTGTGTGGTTTAGCAATGCATTCAAAGTACTTTTTTGAGTAACTGCTGCTGTTCGTTCCAAACAATGCAAGTGACTCACATAGATGATAGAATTTACAGTTGAGAAATTAGTCTTTTTTTTTTTTTTTGAAAGTTGGATTTTCCCTAATTCTTCCTGCAGATAATAAAAGAGAATTTAACTGCATCTTTTGATCAAAGTGTTTTGATATGGTATCATCATTTTACAACACTTAGAAAAGATCTGGACCTCAAGTGAGATCTTGCCTGTATTGAAATCAGGTTTTTCTTCCCCAGTTGATTTTTGTGCAGTGTTCCATACCCAGGAATAAGGGGGGGGGTGTGTGGTGTCTGTCTTTTCCCCCTTTTCTTTCTTTGTTGAGCAAAGCTTACAAATTGCAGAACTCCCGAAAGCAAAGCAGTTCTGTTCGCACATCTAGCTTAACCAAACAGTCTCTTACCTGCTGCAAGACTTTTGGTTCTTAACTCCTTCTTTACCCAGCTACGTGAAAATTCTTTTAAGAACTGGCTGTTTGGCTTACATTCATTTAACAGCCACAAATACAGTAAGTAGCCAACCAAAACTGCAACGGAATTTTAGCTGACTATTCCCATTCACATCTGACACGAGCAGAGTTTGGAAAGAAAATTTAGTTTAGCCAGCGATAAATTTAGCTGTGGAACATATAGGTTCGTGCTGTACTTCATAATCTCGTAGATTCTTCAGCATC